TTGGTATATTCTGCATTAAAGATGAAAATGATATCACTTGAGAAATTTTCATTTCCAGAAGTGAATGAAATAATCTATTCTCCGAAGTGAATGGAGCTATAAACATAATTATATATATGTTAAATGTATTGTTTGGATCTTTTCACCAGAAGTGAGGAAAGAGGAGTAGAAGGATAACTATAAATAAGGATGACACCACAATTGCATTATCAAAGTCATGATAACATAATGTACATGTTGTACATTATAATGTATAATGAAATACATATATAAATTTAAAATCATCTAGTCAGTGATGGTATTGATCCAAATAAATCTTATTTAATTTTCACAATTGTAGTATTATGATTCTTATTTCTTTTATGTTTTATTGTGACGTTATTTTTCATGCATAATTTAATTTGATAACCTTTATCTAGAATAATTAACTTGATAAATTGATCAATTTTGTCTTAAGTTTGAAATATTCTCATTTATTACTTTTATTATGTTTTATAAAGTACGAGTACTAGAAAAATTCCATATAAACTATATGGTAGAGTACATAAATGAGAAAAAGCTTCCAAAGAGCTTATGTTTGGTTACTTGAAGTAACTAAATTATGTACTCGTGATAACAATTTGTGATGATATTCACTATGAATTTGTGTTTACTAAGAATGCATCAAAATCCTAAGTCCCCGGAAGGGCGAAATATGGTACAAAATATGGTAAAGTTCTAAAAGAGCTAATGTTTTGTGGTCTGAAGGACCCAAACTGCGTAGTGATGATGCATTACCCAATTAAAAGGATATTCGTAAAATGAATATCTTATCAAGAAAATAGTAAAATTAATATTTGCATCACAAATATGTACTATATTAGTACTATCAGTACGCATAAAAGTGTAAACTAGAAGTTTACAAGATTTGATAACTTGATGATTGGTTGGTCCGGTTAGACCATCCCGAATCTTGATGTGAAAAAAAGTTCTTTGAGAATTCATGAAAACATCATATGAGAAGTCAAAGAACTCTTCAAATAAAAGAGTTATTATGTCATGTTTGTTCTCAAGGAGAATAGAACAATTGATCATCGCTTTTATAAGAGTTGACAAATCTCTTGAGATGGTATGCAGAACAATACATCAGTCATGTGGATCATTTGTGAATTTTATGGGTTGCTGCATCAAATGTATTTTATCTAATCGCAACCCGATGTTTGCGAGATTGGTTGTCTCACTATGGATACATTTTGATGGTTATCCAATCAAACATCACATTGCTTAATAGAACAAGCCGAGCCTTCTGGTCTCTTGTCGAGGACATGCTAGCTGACAAGTGATAGTATTGGTTCACATCTAACCAACAAGTTATCATAAGTTCCCCCTTTTACAAATGGTTTTTGTAAGAAACCTAACATTTCTCATATGAGAATACCAGGGTGTGCCGCATACATCCCAATTGCACCACCACAGTATCTTAAGTTGATTCTCGTTGGAAATTGAGAATTTGTGTTGGGTATGAATCCCGAATGGGAAATTTGTTTGCGAAATTATTATTTTGATGGATTACTTTTCCAACATTAAGGGGGAGACAAAAAAAAAACAGCTAGACAAAAAGATGAGTTGGAATGAGTTATCATTATATCTAGTTTTGATCCTCAAATTAAGAAACATGAACCTGAAGTTCATAAGATGAATTATCATTACCAACTATCAAATGCCTTTACTGGCCATACGAAGTGACCAAGTCACATATACTAGCTGTGAATGCTCCAACTAAATTTGATATCCTTGTTGGATACTCTAATATAAAAAAATGTGTATGAAAGAGCGCATGAAGCGTGATAGACCAATCGGTTCCAATGATAAATATCCTCGAGAAAGAAAAGGAGCTGTAATTAGAATGGTCAACTTGAGGACATGAAAACTCAAGAAGAGTAACAAAGAATTAAGTATAATTTTAGTTCCAGAAGAACACATGTCTCTGAAAGTTGTGAAAGGGAAGAGATCTCAAAAACATATTAGACTACAATACTAGAACCGAAATGAAGTCATTGTCGACGGAATTTGTTTGTTGTACTTCAGTACTGAATATGATATATACAAGTGAGGATCAAGAGTAAAAATCTATTGATGCATGCAAATGATCATGTTATTGGCCAATATAGAAAGAAATCACGAAACTTGCTCAAAGAGTATAAAGTTTAAGGACCAGAAGTCCTTACACCTGAAAAGGGTAAAAATAGCGGGATACAAACAAATTTTTACGCTATTGGAAAGTATGAAATTGTAAGAGATATAGTACAATGTTTTGAAATAGGTTTCACGAAGAGACCTATCATTGTTTAAGAAGAGTTATGCTCCCCTGTAGTGGATGCAACTACTTTTTCAAATCAATGTTTGAAAATTGTTGTGATAGCCTATTTGTTTGAATTCCCTGAAGATGTTATATATATTTGAAACTCCCAGAAGGATTAGTTACTCCTAGAAGGATTAATTTACCTGAAGTAAACAAGTAAATTTCTCGAGAACATATATCGATAGACTAAGAAAATCCATTGTGTGGGTTGAGAAAATATAGACGAATGTGAAATACTCGTCTAAGTGAACACCTACAACAGTAGGGTGAATGGACCTTAAAAGGTAAAATCCAGATAGAGTCATTAGAGCATTTGCATTGTGCATATATAGTTGTGTTGTCTGTATGTGCTTCAAGGATTTTAAATTCTTGATTTATGAGTTGTGATTTACTTTAAAGTATGAGTAGTGTTTTATGAGTGTGCTTTGTCTAGTTCATATGTTTCTATGATGTGTGTTTTGTTAATATCTTTCGTGATATGAAAGAATTGCTTACTTCAATTTGTTTTAGTCAAGTTTTTTTGTGACGATCTCATATTATGTTGATGATATGTCTATTATTGGAGCTCCTGAAGAGCTTCATAAAGAAGTTGATTGCTTAGAGACATAAGTTAAATTTAAGGATTTAAGATCCTTTTTATGGGAAAGGAAGGTAATGTTGAAAAAGTGGAAAAGTAATTTTGCATGAACAAATTATGTTCATCAAATAACATTAGGATCCTAAGATCACTAGAAGTGACCAAAGATCCATTTAGGCATCAAGAAAGAAGTGAGACATTAGGTCCTGAAGTACTTTATGTTGATGTACTAGGTCCTGAAGTACCATATGTTGATGCACCAAAGCACAAATTCACATTGCTAGCCAAACACCATATAAACTATCATTTTGGTGTTGATAATATATGCATTGTGCATATATAGTTGTGTTGTCTGTATGTGCTTCAAGGATTTTAAATTCTTGATTTATGAGTTGTGATTTACTTTAAAGTATGAGTAGTGTTTTATGAGTGTGCTTTGTCTAGTTCATATGTTTCTATGATGTGTGTTTTGTTAATATCTTTCGTGATATGAAAGAATTGCTTACTTCAATTTGTTTTAGTCAAGTTTTTTTGTGACGATCTCATATTATGTTGATGATATGTCTATTATTGGAGCTCCTGAAGAGCTTCATAAAGAAGTTGATTGCTTAGAGACATAAGTTAAATTTAAGGATTTAAGATCCTTTTTATGGGAAAGGAAGGTAATGTTGAAAAAGTGGAAAAGTAATTTTGCATGAACAAATTATGTTCATCAAATAACATTAGGATCCTAAGATCACTAGAAGTGACCAAAGATCCATTTAGGCATCAAGAAAGAAGTGAGACATTAGGTCCTGAAGTACTTTATGTTGATGTACTAGGTCCTGAAGTACCATATGTTGATGCACCAAAGCACAAATTCACATTGCTAGCCAAACACCATATAAACTATCATTTTGGTGTTGATAATATTAGCAAAATACAATGTTTCCCTCAATGGAACGTTGGAAATACTTTGTTACCTTCACGAACAATATATGTGATTGTTCTATTATGGTACTATCAAAGAGAGATTTGGTGAACTATATATCCAAATCCTATATATTATTTGATCCTCATATTGGTTGATCAGAGATGAACTATCTCTTACATATGGTGATGTGATTCTTTCATAGATATCCAAAACAAACTATAATAGGCAAGTCCTGAATGTATTTCGTTACACTTTGTGATTCACCATATCTAAAGGACTTGTGGTTGTAAACTATTTCTAAAGGAAATGATCCTGACGATCATGGATAAAGAAAATCTAAAGATCATGCATAAGAATGACAATCTAGAAGATTGTTCACTAACTAACTCCCGGCAACAATCTTTCTAAAAGTTGTTCGTGAAATTTGAGTTCAACGACTCAAAGATTTGAAATGATGTGGTCATGAGGGGGAGCATATACGCACTGCACTCTTTTTCCCTTCACCATGGTTTTTCCCACTGGGTTTTCCTGGTAAGGTTTTTAACGAGGCAGTATGAGATAGCGTAATGCAATCTAGTGGTCATCCAAGGGGGAGTATTATGTAAATATTAATATATGGATGACCATTGCCATTACCACATTAGATGCTCACTTGGGAGTTACATGTAACCCCCATTCTTACATTTGATAGCTCCTTTATGTTTCATTATCTCTCATTGATATAAGGATGTAGTGGTTACCAATGTGTGCCTATAAATAAAGCACACCATTGTATCAAAAGAGAGAATGAATAAGAAGAACTCTTCCCCTATCTTCTCTTGTGTCTTTCCCTCTCTAATCTTCTCTTGTAGTTGTTTATATTTTTCATTAGTTTCATAACACGAATGAGTATTTGAGGTGGGAATTTGTATTTTCAACTCTACAGATAGAGGTAGAGAAGACACGTTAGAGAGAATGTGAGAGTGAGAGGAGAGTCACACGACGTGAAAGACACAGTGAAGGAAGAATTACACTTGAAATTTGAGGTATTTTCGTCTCTTTGTCTTAAGGAATGGACATAGTCGGATAATAAGTTGCAGGCTTTGACTTGAGTTGGGGACGAGGAGTAAGCTGACTTGGCTTTGAATTTTTCAGTTTAAAATCGGTTCTCCGAATGTTTCATTTTTGTACCATTTCTTACAATCGATTTCTAATTGCAACCGAATCGAGTTATACGTTCCAATTTTCGGTTGAGCCGAAAAACCGAAAACCATTTCTTACCCAACAACGGAAACAGCCACACCCAAACTTCACTCCGTAAGTCCAAACTCCAAATCGCAGCTTCCTCCCCGTTTCCTTTTTATCCCAGCAGAAAGGGGACTCGAGATCCCGATCAGCCCAACCCCCACCGCCCGTTGTCGACCGACCGAGTGAGCGACTCGGTACCTCACAGCGATGGATCCGGCGAGCACGCCACTCGGTAAAATGCTCTTGGAGGAGATCACTCCGGTGGTCATGGTGCTCCGTACGGATTCCGTCGAAGAAGCCTGCGTTAAGAACGGGCTTTCCTTCGTCGAAATGCTCAGCCCCTTCTGTAACTTCAGCAATATCGACGGTTAGTTAGCTTCTGCCACTTCTGTCGATTTGAAAAGAAAGAAAAACTTAGCTAGTTGGCAGACGGCAGTAAGAGTGGGGAAAACATTGACGTTTTTGTGGTTTAGTTTATTTGACTGTTGCCTTATTTTCCCCGGTTGCAGTTCCTTTGCGCACGTCGAGTGATCAGCCCTACAGGTTGCGCAAGTTCAAGCTGCGGCTGGTTTATGAGTCGGATGTCCACCAGCCAAATGTGGAGGTAAGTAAGATTGTTGTGTTTGGTAGCTGAGAATAGCTGCAATTTGGGAATGCAAGTAAGATGTTGATTTGCTATGGTTTTATTCTTAATTCTTTCTTGCTATTTACAGACTCGAGAATTTGAATCAATCCTCTGGACAAACTCGGTCGAGTTAGATGTTAAGTTTGGATAAAAAAGCAAATTATAGTATTATCAGTTTGTATGATTAGCTCCATTAGTGTTAGGTTGTATTCCATGAGAATTAGAAAGTGTACGGGCTCCCTTGGTAATGATAGTGCATATTCTGCTCAAAGGTCAAGTGTTTTCCATGAATTCCCTGGAAGTAAAAGGACCGGGCAATCTTTGTTAAGTGTTTATCTCAAGAATTTTACTTTGACTAGGTAGCAAAGGAGCGATTGAAGCAGGTAATCACCAAGGCAGGGGAGAAAGAGAATTCCGAGTTGTCCTCTGACCCACCTCAAGTCAGTAATTTACTCGATAGTAAGTTACAATAAGCACACGTAGTAATGTTTCCTTGTTTTCCACTTAAGATGTTGCTATAATTTTGTATAGCTGATAGACATTTAGTTGATACGAGTTCCTTGCTGTTGTTCAGGCTCCAAATCTGAGCTTTTACCCTCGTGGTTTGAATACCTTAACAAGGAGCTCATACGGGCGGCCTCCTTCTCAGAGCATGAAACCTTTGACCACCCTGTGGCATGTAAGGTCTTCAGAGTTGTTAGAGCTGCCTACTAATTATTATTTTGAAATTCTTATGGAAAACCTACTCTTTCCATGACTTTTTTGGATCTCAGTTTATATTTCTTGTTGGCATTCATGCAGGTCTTTTAGTTGTGTCATCAATGGACGAGCAGCCTATTAACAGATTTGTTGACCTCTTCAACACTAACAAGCTACCCTCACTTCTAAATGATGGTGCAATGGATCCGAAGATCTTGAAGCATTACTTATTGGTGCATGACAATCACGATGGGTCTTCAGAAAAGTATAGCGTTCTTTCCTCCCTTTTTATCTAAAAAATTCTGTCTGGGTCCCAAAAGTGTAGCAATTGATCTCTTCCACTTTGTGAGCGTGTGCATGAAACAAAGTCACATGAGATCTTATGCATAAGCCCGAGGGGTGGTAAGTTAACTAGTTAGATACTGGATTTGATGCATATTCCTTCCCTCTCCCATGTTATGTCTCTTCCTCAGTGCAAAATCTTTTGTCTCAATCACTGAAATTGCAGAACCTCCTTCATTCATGTTGGCTCACAACATCGGAGGCCTTATTACATTATTTCTTTGTTGTACAGGGCTTTGAAAATCCTTTCAGAAATGAAAAGTACATTTGGTACAAATGAGTGCCACTTACTTTGCATTAATTCTTCACAAGATGCAACAATGGAACACCAAGATGATCCCTGGGCTTCTTATGTAAGTTCTTGTATCTCCAATTATCTTGTGTTAGATAGCTTCTCGCCTTTTGTATCCTTAACCGTATTTGATGAAAATCAGCAAGATTAAGGGTATATTCTCAATTCTTTTCTATGACAGAAAAATGATGCTTCCCCTGTTCAGCACCTTGGTTGTTGCCTTGATGTTGATGATACTAGCGCGGTAAGATTTCTTTCTTGCATCTTTCAACACTCAGTTTCTTCTTACTCTCACCACAAGATAATGCTGAATGAGATCCCATTTCATGAAATGACAGTTAAAAGATCTGATGCATGAGTTTTCATCTAAAAATGTGATCCCATATATGGAGCAAAAAGTTCGTATACTTAATCAGCAGGTAAGAATATCCAATGCTCATTTTCTCATAGGTATTTCCACTCAACTATTTTTTGTCCTAACAATAAGGAACTAGTCTAGCTTTTATAGTTCTTCACTTTTTCTATGAACTAACACAGCTCGTGGTCAGGTATCTGCTACAAGAAGGGGCTTTAGAAACCAAATCAAGAACTTGTGGTGGAGAAAAGGAAAAGATGACCCAAATGAAATGCCTAGTGGTTCCATGTATGTTTACTGGCTGGTTTGTGGATGGTTGCTATTTTTGCTTCTAAACTTCTATGATTCCTCATTCAGATTCTTTTTCATTGTTGAAGGTATACCTTTAGCTCTATCGAGTCACAGATTAGAGTTCTGGGAGACCATGCTTTCATGTTGCACGATTATGAACTTGCATTAGCCAACTATTCCCTCATATCAACAGATTATAAACTTGATAAGGCTTGGAAGCGCTATGCGGGAGTGCAGGTAGGAGTATGACTTTAATTCTCAAGTTCACCATTAGCTGTTTTCTGTAGTTTTGATGATTCAACGAGCCTTATATAATGTGATATGGAAGGCTAAATTTTGGGGTTACTGACTTCTTTTTTTGGTGTCCCCTTGTATTCGTACATTTGTTGTGTCTGTTTTTTGCTTAGCTGTCCTTGAGGCCTTGCCATTTTTTTCTTTCTCTCTGATTAGGGGTTGAATGTCTTGTTAGTAGGATTTTAAGCTATTCTATTGAAAGGGAGAAACATGGCTTTTCAGACTTATCAAAGATGGTGAAAAGAGCCATGCCCGTTAGCTTGGTTAGCATGACATTTCATTTATGCTGGATGCGGTTTCTTTATGCTTTCATCCCTTAATGGTGTCTAATAGACTTGGTATATCTGTGCTTCGAGGGCCTTAGTCATTGCTGCAATGTTTGGGCGTTCTACTGTTTGAAATTTGTTACCTTGTTACCCAAGTGGTGCGTGCAGATTATCAGCTGTATACCATATTTAGATTGAGCATTTTACACTTTAAAACGCATTGGGTTTTGCATTCTTCATAGCACTGGAGATAAGTGTTTAGGTTGCAGCTATCTAAATAATTCTTCAATGCTAAAATTGGCACAGTCAATATTCTTTTAATGTAAATATAATTGCATTTTGTCATCTCTTATGGTCTTTTTGGACGGTGTGAGATACTATTAAAATCTTGTTTCCTCTACTGAGCTGTTGTGTACTCTGACTGTTCTTATTCTGTTACATTGCTGGCTTGTTTCATTTAATCTTGTAGGAAATGATGGCCCTTGCATATTTCCTTCTAGATCAATCAAGGAAGGAGGCAGAATATTGTATGGAAAATGCATTTAACACTTATCTGGTATGTCCTTTTATTTCTACCTTTTTCTTTGAGCACTTGTTTCCTTGATTTTATAATTATTTTTTATTGGAGTCACAATGCTTCTATTTTCCTTAGCTCAAATAGAAGTTAGAATTGTTTTATCCTTAGCTCAAATGGGGGCTGGTTTATTTCTTGGTTTATACTGTATCTTTATTTTTCTTGTCCTCATTTTTACTGCAATAACAGGATATAAAAAAAAGCACATTTCCCTTGGGATTTAGTGGTAGGCAAGCGGATAATTGTAACTTCATGGATGAAGTATGATGCTATTAGATTTGTACCACATCTAGAGTGGTATAACAAATCTCAGAAGGGTAAAGTTGAAAGCTCTTACGCGTCTGTATCATATTCAACCAAATCGCTTCACTATTATCTGCCTCCAAATTTCATCTAGGGATAAAGATTGTTTCCTCATTACATGAGAGCCTCAATGGCAGAAAGCTGTGTAAAAACCTCCCCCCCTCGGTATGCATGGATATGATGCCTAAGACACCCCTTTCGCAAGGGATGAATTTTACACCTTGTTTAACTATGTGAACCTGTTGTGGATGCAGAAACTTGGGTCTTCAGGTCAGCAAAATGCAACACGTTGTGGTCTTTGGTGGATAGAAATGTTAAAGACAAGAGATCAGTATAAAGAGGCGGCCTCAGTGTATTTCCGCATTTGTAGTGAGGTTACCTGTTCGATATTTGGTAATCCAAGAGAAATGGAAGTTAATTTGTAGTTTGTGTTCCTAATTTTTTATTTATTGTTTCTCTATTCAGGAACTGTTACATTCAGCTGTTATGCTTGAGCAAGCATCGTACTGCTACTTGTTCTCTAAACCACCCATGCTATACAAATATGGATTTCATCTTGTGCTTTCTGGTGATCGCTATAGGAAAACTGATCAGGTACCTTTGACATTGTTTGCAAATGTGCCCTTCGTGTGTCCTATTCTCCTGTAATTTTATGTTCTCAATTTTTGTAGGTTAAACATGCAATTCGCACATACAGAAGTGCTCTCTCTGTTTATAAGGAAACCACTTGGAGCTACATCAGGGATCATGTTCATTTCCATATCGGGCAGTAAGTTACTTATAGAGGTTTACATGATAACTTCCTTGATTATAAGTTGTACACGAGACTAGAGAATTTTGATGGTGCTTATTGAACATAGGTGGTATGCCCTTCTTGGTTTGCATGATTTGGCTGTGAAGCACATGTTGCAAGTCCTGGCATGTAGTCATCAGTCTAAAGCAACTCAGGAGCTATTCCTGCGGGACTTTGTCCAAATCTTTCAGGTGCTGTTTTTTCTTCATGGGTTAGTTTCTCTAGGACGAGTGTTGAACTACATAAAGCAGTTTGATATTTTACTTTGCGTCGGAATATTTAAGAAAAGAGGATTTTGGTGGCTAATTTAGCTTCTGTGTAAAGTGAAAATCAGGAAAATATGAAAATCAAAGTGATTTCGTTATCATCGCATCGCATCTGACTCACTTTGGTATTTGGTCCACTACGGTTTAACTGAAAAGATATTGTCCTATCTCAATCCCGCCAATTGCTTTTCTGAACCTTTTTCCTGATCCGACTTGTTTCATTCTTGGATACTGTAGGAAGCAGGCAAGACATTTGAGGTTCCAGGACTTCAGTTGCCTGTGATTGACATCTCATCACTCAAGGTTGTTTTTGAAGACCAGCGGACCTACGCATCATATCCTGCGGTAAATTCAAGTTGTCAGTTAGTTATCTATTAACATTTTTCAAAATTAGCTCTTACATCTGTATGTCTCGTCCACCAAGTCCTTGACCCATTTGGATGCATTTTTCAGCCAGTGTTCTGCTTGCTTCCCTGTGTACTTCGGTTGGGTGATATAGAGCCAGAGTGTTGACTATGGAATTTAAATTACATAGGTCGTATACATCTACTTTCTGATTGAGTGGAAACTTGTAAAGTCACTTAATGCACAATGGAGCAAAATTTTATATTTGTTGCTATGTAAAGATGGCCAAGGGTCGCGAACAAGAGCTTGGTCTAGCGGTACTACCACTAGTCTTGAATGAGGTCTTAGGTTTGAATCCCTCAAGTAGCAGTTTATAATGAAAACACCTATATCATCCTTATCTAGAAAAAATATGGCCAAGGGTGACTTGACTGAGCTTCAGAAAATGGCGATTCCGGTAGTTAAGAGTCTCATTCTTATTTTACAAGCTGGTTTTTGAAAACCAAGTAGTATTCTGTGTGTTTACCGTCTTGAAGCATTCTGTACATGATCATTTTGTACTTTATTTTATTTTAGTAGAGATGGATAGGCAATCAAGTTGAACGGGCAGGCAGAAAAGAGCCTCTTATAAAGAAATTAAATTACAAAAAACATGCATATTCGCTCCTCTTGCAAACATACAGCAACCTTGAAAGGAACAGGAGTTTTCGCTTGCATCTTTCAGTTTTGGTCTTATAGCCTCCAGATTCTGTTTTTGGGACCTGCATTTGCGTACCAGTTTAGATATTTCATATTAGTTGAACCTTGAAAGTAAACCAGATTGTTCTGTTTGTATGTCCAGGCCAGTGTCAAGGAAAGTTTGTGGCGATCATTAGAGGAGGATTTGATTCCCTCATTGCCTGGTGCTAGGACTAACTGGCTGGATGTGCAAACAAAGCTTATGCCAAAGAGACTCAGAGAATCAAATGTCTGTGTGGCTGGAGGTATGGAGGTGATGGTATTCTGCTGAAGCTGTGTTTCTTATCTTCTGATATATTTCACCTATTAACATTCTTAGGCAAGTATGAAAGGTGCCTTGATAAACTGTAACTTCTCTATTTAATTTTAGAGGTTTCCTTCCTCGGGAACAGGAACATAGCATAGGTGGTCATTTCCCTGAGCTATTGGGGAAGAAGTTGTTAGATGGATGATTTCCTACCATTTACATACTGTCTCTTACTATTTGCAGAGGCAATAAAGGTGGTTGTTGAATTTACGAACCCACTGCAGGTCCCTATCTCCATCTCTAATGTGTCTTTGATATGCGAGCTTTCACAATCAGAGGAAGATAAATCTGGTTAGTTGTTGTCATTGTTTCCAATATCCTTATCTTCATCCCCTGTGTTGAAGTTGGCAGATGAAGTTCATTCAGATCCAATGTTTTTTTCTTATACCTTTTGGTATTGTAGACACGAATGCCTCGACCTCTGAACTTGAAAATGATGAAGACCATCAAAGGTTTGGCACCAGTTGGGTCTTTTTCTCAACTTAGTCTCATGATAGTTAAGCTTAAAAGCCAATGATTTCTGGTGGCTACTAAATTACTGCTGCTGAATGCCTACAGGGTTGTGATGTCTGACAGTGCTTCAGTTATATTGTCTGAGATTGATTACTCACTAGGCGGTGGTGAGAAGAAGTTGGTGAGTTCTTTCTAAACCATCTTACTCACATACGAGGAGAATTCCTCAACTTTTCTGGTCCCCTCTGAATTTTGTCGAACTGTTTCAAGTATTGCTAGCATGGATTCTTTCTAAACCATCTTACTCACGTATGATCAGCTTGTTTTCCACCTTCGTTAATCTGTAATGGAAAACTTCTAAATACAATGCCAGCATTGTATCTTGGTATTGCTAGATCTCTTTGGGGTTCCTTTGTGCCACTTTCTGTTTGATTCCCTTGTATTCCGTTTCCACCATTAGGCTGATCATCATGGTATTTTCAAAAGTGGCATGTCTGAGTCTCCAAGTTGATGAACATTATGTTTTCCACTTGAGAAACTATACGGAGTTGGAGCCTGGATATTTTTGAAACAAAAACTGGAGAGCTCAAGTATTCTAATGGCTATATTTATTTTCCAGTCGCACATTAAACACTGAGAGTGTTACTGATGTTCTAAACCCCCCTGCGTTAAGTGTGATCCTTGCATACCATATTCATATGAGCCACAAAACTTTATTTCTCAGTCATTATCAATCCCAGGCTAAAACTGTCTGAGAAAAACTTGGCGCAACTAATGTTAGGTAGCTGCTGTTTTCCTCTGCTAGTTTGGTAACATACACCTTATTATGTTTATTGGGTTAATGTTTTCTTTTTGGCCTATTCAGGTGGAACTGACAGTTACTCCTAAAATGGAAGGCACACTAAAACTTGTTGGTGTCAGGTGGAAATTTTCAGGGTGTGTTGTTGGGTTTTACACTTTTGAGTCCATACTTTTGGTGAAGAAAATCGCAAGGGGGAAGAGGAAAGCGAAGCAATCACCTCTCAATGATCTGAAGTTTGTAGTAGTCAAGGTGAAGCAATCCTCCACAACCCAACAGAAATGAATGGAAAATATTGTTTGAAATATTATATTACTGCATTATTCAGACTCTGTCTATTCTGAATCTGTAACCTCTTTATATGCAGCCAGTACCAAAGCTTGAGGGTCACATTCATGCTTTTCCAGAAAAGGCACATGCTGGACATCTACAGCCTCTCATTTTGGAGTTGAAGAACCAATCAGACTGTTCTATAAAGGTTGTTTTATTTTTTTGCATTATTGTTGGTAACTATGTTATTGTGTTTATACTGGCTGACTTGAGTTTAACAATACCGAACCCCCTGGTTCCTTGGGTTCCATATAGATTGCAACTAAATTATATAACTTACAAAGTAGAAAGGCCCACTGAATGATATCATGGAAGCTTTTAATCATGCAAGATAAATACAGCAATGTGAGAAACCTACCCGCTCAACCTTCTTTAGATTTTCTTAAGTTTGTACGTAACTGCAACTCATATGAAAACTGGCTTATATGGACAGTAATGTATGTGCTGTTATGATAGGCACCTTCTTCACTATTAGCAAACCATGCTTCTGTCAGCCAGTTAGATGCACTTGCAGTCATTTCAAGTGGCTAACGTGCCTACTTACCTTGACAGAATCTCAAGATGAAGATAAGTCATCCTAGATTCCTTAGTATAGGGAATAAAGAAGTTCCCCATGTGGATTTTCCTGCTTGCTTAGAGAAGCGACCAGACAACAAACAAAGTGGCACACATGCTAATCTAAAGAAGCCGTCTGAAGGTGTTTTCCTGTTTCCCGAGGTTAGTACCGCTTCTTCCTTGTCTTCTGGCACATCATTATCAATCTGAATCAAGATAATTTTAGTGAAGTGCATTACATCTTAATTGATGCTTCAGGATGTTGCAATAAAAGGAGACAAGCCATTATTGTGGCCCCTTTGGCTTCATGCTGCTGTTCCTGAAAGTGTCCCGCTATACATAATAATATACTATGAGATGGAGGATACATCTAGTGTGATGAAATACCGTACTCTGCGGTTGCACTATAATTTGCAGGTAAGCTCATTGTACACAGGACGACTGTGATTTATATAATTTGTGTGGTTGTATGTATATATATATATATATAGACTATAGAGACAACATCTATGGCGTTTTTGTTCAATTATAAGCATACATTATTATTAGGTGACTATGTCAATTAAAAGTGACCCTGTACATTTGACGACATGTTCTATAATGAATAGATGACTAATGGAATTGAATAAAACTCATGTACTAGGTATTCTTGGTACAGATTTGGTGAATACTATCAAGTCCTGAATCCAACATGTGCGTCGTCTTGACTCCCATATGAGTGCCATCTGCTAATTACCATTGCATCTTGAATCCAATGATTGTCATCTTGTAATATTTTGATGTTACCTGGGTTGATTGTCTTTTGATGTACCAAAATAAACTTGGTTCGATTGTATGTTGGTGTACCAAAATAAGCTAGGAGTTGGCATCTTACGTGAAAAGCTGGTGTGCACATGTATTTTTTCCCTTCCTAGTTCCTCCCTAGGTCTTCGTATTCTTTGAGCATATGTACTTCTCAAATTTGATGATGAATAAAACCCTCAAGCTTATGTCTTGACACATGCTAGTTTTCTTAATATAGGTGTTGCCATCATTGGATGTTTCGTTTAAAATCAGTCCTTGCCCTTCAAGATTGCAAGAGTTCCTCGTGCGGATGGATGTTGTCAATAAATCTAGTGCACAGAGTTTCCAGGTCAGCCAGCTGTCTTCCGTTGGAGACAACTGGGGAATTTCAAGGCTTCAAACGATAGATGGAATCATACCTTCACAATCTTTGGCTGTTGGCCAGGCATTCTCATTTTTCTTTATGCTCAAGGTGGGTCTGCGAAGTTACTACTTTAGTTAATTCTTCGACCGTTTAATCTTTTTCTTACGTTATTCTAGTTCACCTAACAGCCTAGGTTGTCAAGCAACGAACTAATCGTAATTTGAGGGCTTCATCTGCTAATAAAATAAATTTTGATTTTGTCAATTCCTTTTTCATTCTCTTCCCTCGGTGTTTCATCTAAGAAATGTGGTCGATCTCGACTGTCCTAATCACGTACATTTTAAGCCGGATATAGCTTTTAAGGCACTATGTTATGTCTGAATCTTGGGTTCTGATTCCAGAGTCGTAGGCAATCATTGGTGGATGCAGCAGGTCATGTCCCGGATCTCTTTCCTGATATCGGAAGTGATGTCAGATTGTGCCCTGAGAGCTTGAAAGAGCCCCTTGTTAACATAACCCACTCACCTCTGTCCGATTTCCATGATTCCGAAAGATCACAACACGGAATCCGTAATCAGGTTGGTATTCTTCTTTATCCCCACACACTTTGATTTGACATTACAACTCTGTAACTAAGGCCATTGAGATTTACTTGATTAGTTGTATCATCAATCTATGCATAGGACAAGTTGTCTAGGGTTTCTTTTGACTATTTAGTATTTACTGTATTCTTGTGGCTTTCCCTTCCATGTATCAGGAAGATGACAATACGGTGGACTTCATCTTGATTTCTCGGCCACTAAAATCTGATAGGAATTCAGAAGAAGCTTCTGATCAACCTCAACTCTTCTCCCATCATGCGTGTTACTGCAGGCAATACTCCTTGCTCCCATCCTCAAATGCTGATAATTTATCTGAACAGAAGTATCATTGAGTTTCACAAGTCATGGTGTTTATCTTCCTTGTCTTACGTGCATTTCTACAGAACCGCTAGCACAAGCCCAATATCTTGGACAATGAATGGACCTCGAACCAAATACCACAACTTTTCATCTTCGTTCTGTGAGATAAGTCTGCGGATGACCATCCACAACTCGTCAGATGTCATTGCATCTATAAGCATCAACACGGCTGATTCTGCAGGCCAATCAGATGCACTACCTTCGCCACGCGGATGGCAGCCTGTGGTTGCAGACACTAAGGTCGCTTCACCTAAAGTTTCTGTAGCTGTAGCCGGGAATTCGGCAGAGTTGCCGTCATCGGAACCTGTCGCCTCCCCGGTTTCCCCGTTCATCTGGTCCGGCTCAAGTTGCAGTAACGTCCAGCTTGAACCCAGTTCCTCCACGGATGTTCCAATGCAAATATGTGTCTTCTCCCCCGGCACTTATGATCTGTCGAGCTATGTTTTGAATTGGAATCTGAGAAAGGATGGCGGTGGCAATCAGTTGGAGGCAAAGGAAAAGAAGCCTGAAGAGATGAGGAAACTGTGGGGGAGTTGCTCAGGATATCCGTATTTCTTGACGGTTCTTCAATCTGTCTAGTGCAGGAACTTGGAATGTACTTGTCCACTTTTTTTCCTTCTCTAGGTTGGTTCTGGTTAAGTGGTTTATGATTTTTGTAGTTTTACATGTATAATATTTTTATTTCCTCTTCCAATTTCCGTGTAACGCAAAAGTAGGAAGGTTTTTACCTTTTTTTGGAATCAGGACTGCAGTTTGTCAAATGGAAAAACTGGAAAAGTCAAGAAGGGAAATCTAGTTTGTCAAATAGGAACCGAGGTCATTCATTTTGGCAGGGAGAAAAACATTACGATACTAAGAAAAATAAAGTGAAATTCAGGTATTGTCTAATTTTGTTGTAATTTTTTATTATCAGGGTGTTTCTAGGTGAGCTCTCTTTAATTGAACTAGAAAATTAGCCCGCGCTCTGCGGCGGAATATGTATGATTCGTTGTATGATAGATTGATGGTTCTTAATTAAGAAGGTTAGCGATTGAGGCATGAAACTATTTTTAATTGTTAATTTGAAATAAAATCACTTCTGCACTTTTCTGCAGCAGCTGATACCATAGCTCTGCCCCATTGTATTTGTATACTTTCTAATCTATATACTATAACCCAAAACTACAGTATAAACTTCCAATTTTAAAGACACCATTATGGATTTCATTATTGTAACATTCAAGTTGAAATGAACCGGATTTTAATTGATTCTTCATATGTTCCTGTTCTGCATACTTGTTGATTTAATGAACATTCCATGAAATTGAAGTTCTTTATCATTATACTTGTATAGGTAACTGCATTGTTGAGAATTAAAATCAAGATAATCTATCTTCTTCAATTACAAAGAAACAACAAAGGAAAACTAAATGAGACCAAATGCTCAAAAATGAAAGCTTAGCTCTGATTCTTTGTTTTTGAATGCCTATTCTATCAGCAACACAACAAATGGGAAATGCATAACTCTTGCAAACTTTGTTTACCGCTTTGTAATAGAAACTGTGCTATGCATGTAGTTAAACAATAGCAATGGATTAAAGGCAAACAAAAACAAATTGAAATCAAGATTTTTTTTTATATAACTCGTATTCAACACTACATAATGTATAGTAAATGAGCAACAAAATGGACAGGCATATATATAAGTATAGAACACACTCTGAGTCATTATCACAAATTCAAATCCACGTAGAACCATTCATGACTTCAAAAACAATATCCTAATAGCTAAAATGAATGGACACCCTAAACTGGCACAGTAAAGCAATGTAATGAGTGTTTCATGCTTGCATCCAAGTCAAAATTGATGCAAGCAGCTGAGACACAATTGCAGAAGAGCTAGAAAATCACTGCAATCGTACTATGTCGAACTGATGTGAGAAATAGGGAGCATAAGAAAGGTGTAGTAAATGTAACCAAAGAACATGTTTCATAAGTTGCAACACAACAGCCTGTGCATCAAAATCAATGTTATAAAGCCCTTTCGAAATGTCTCAGCCATTATATCTAAGCTCATCCAAATAAGTTCATTTAATAATGACATAAATATCAAGTCTTGATATATACGAACTACAAAGTTGTCATGAGATGACTTGCAAAAGCTATGTTTCTTTTCATATATCAGTTGTGCAACCTGCAATTCTCCTTGCCAGTATTATTCATTGATTTCATAAGAAATTCTTCGAAATAAAATGAATGCCCTATGGCCTAGCTGCACTTTAAATAACAGGAAGCCTAATCCAAGATTCTAAACTAAGATGAATGCAAAAGTAGAAGTAACGCAGATAATGAATGTTGATTGTTGGTTATGCGAATGAAAACTTCTTGAGGCCATTTTGAAGAACGAACCAATGCCCGAGATATGGAAGAATTAGTAAAAATGAAAGTCAACAGGAAACCATACAAGTAGAATAAGATACTAAACATCCAAATTTAAACAATCCCAAATTGTTGATACATGCATTGATGATTTCAATCAAAGGAATGATGAAAAGAATTAAGAACCCATCTAGATGTCTTTTGTATCTCCATTTACCTCATTTCATTGGCTACTCTTCTCTTCCTAATCGGCTAAACTGCAGCCAATTTTGTCTCTGTTTCTTGAGGGAGAGTTGGAACACTAAGTGGCGGCTAGGCAAGCTGGTCTCAATTTCTGCTTTTGGATTCGAGTGAAGAAGAGAAGTCGCATGCTCATCTGTTTCGATTCGGAGTAGCCCGTTCTAACACGTTTATTTCAACGGGAGAGCAGCCTATTACGTCCATAAATCCAACACCTCATCCTTCCAATTCAAAATTGCAATTAATCCAGCCAAATCCAAAGCTTGGCACTTAGAGAGAGAGGGAATTAGAGAGAGAAGACGGATGAAACTTCTATTTGAGGATGGTGGGTTAAATGCATGATTTCTTTGATCAATTTTTCACTGACCTCCTGATCTTTCATCATCACTATCATTGTTGCCAGTTCAACAGTCAATTATTTCATCCAAACCGTTGTACGATACCCAGGAAATCAAAGAGGCAGCGCCAGATCGAGGATTCGGGAAGTCAGAAGGGGACAACGACGTAGGGGTCCTTATTCAAAGAGGATGAGATCGGCCGACGAAACCAGGAAATCAACTCTCCCATGGCTTCGATTAGATCCCGGTGGTGAGGAACCCTCGATTTCTCACAGAAGAAGCTAACAACTCATCTCTCATCTTCTTCCAAAAGCCGTTAAGCGCGCTCAGAGAGGAAGCCTCCTAAGTGATCTCTGCCCTCAGACCGAGCCTAGCTCTGGCAAGCGCACGATCCGTCTTCTTCTCAGGCAGGTGATTACCTGTGCAGCGCGGCGATTTCTGTAATTTCAGTGAGCATCTAACAGCCGGTTAATCATTTTTAGGGTTTTGTTTCTAAGATCTGCTTGCTCTTACTTGATCTTCTTCTTTATCAAGTGTTCAAGAATTGTTGATATGGCGAGCGGGTTCTGTGATTGAGATTGGGCGGAAGACATGAAAAGGGATTTTTTTCACAATTAGAATGGAGGGTAAATGGGGGAAACAGGAACGAAGAGGAGAGAGGGATGCACGTGCATGTGGAGAAATAAAAAAGAAATCAATGGCCATACTTGTCCAGCCCAATGTGACGAACTTGGGCACCTATGATCACCTGCTGCAGATCATTAATCCCCTCCGTGAACAGTAAGTCCCTATTTTTTCTTAATGAACAGTAATTTCGTGTAGTTTAATAATTCTAATTCTAATTTTTTAAACTTGTAGTTTAATAATTCTAATTGATTGATAGCTTCAAGTGGTAGCTTGTTGAATAATTCTTTGTGGATCGTTGAGGGACAAACAGAAAGATGCGGGCCGTAGGGTTTTCGATGGATTTCGGTATCTTCTATATCCACGTTTGTTGACAATTACCGCATTTCATAATGCATTTGTATATGGTATTTCATCAAATATGATGTTTGGATAGGATTAGAAAGTGTGGTATTGTGATTGTGCTATTTCATTCCAAATTATTTAAATGTTCATTTATCTTTCTTCGGTGATGTCAACGACAAATGAGAGCGTGAGAATTTTGAAGATGATCATGATTATTAATGTGCATATATCGTTGGCTAACAATTGAGAAATAAATAAAATTAAAAATGTTATTCATTGGAAACCATAGACGAGCTGATGATGAAAGATCGAAGTTTTACATCAAGATTTGACCGAAAAAAAACTATCAATGGAAGAAAAAACAAGAGTAATTTTAGCAAATGAAAATAGAAAAGACATAATGGAAATAAATAATATAATATCATGGTATTTAACAAATACTAATATCTTCCTATGGTATTTGAAAAATTACCAAATTTGTAGTATTTGAAGAAAAACACACTTCACCATGTTTCTCTTTTTCCAACCAAATATAACATTTATGCTAAAATCCCACATAATATGGGAATTGTGTATAAATAACACACAAAAATATCCATTCTAAACAATCAATAAAAGCATTTATAGAAACCCTCTAGCTACCGTATTTTTTGTTTTCATTCATTTTTTTTCTTTATTGTTTTGGTCTGGCTATCTTGAACCAGAATCACATGACCATCCGTATTAAGAGTTGCCCACGCTTCCGTCGGACTTTGCCAGCTAATATGTATAAGAGATCTCCGGTTTTCCTCGCCTATGAAACTCTGTGCAGCTTGAAAAGCCAAAGAGACCTGACTCCTTAGTGCTTTCACTCGTTCGGCCAAGTGCGCTGGTGGAGCCAATTGTTTCTCAAAGACCCATGCATTACAGTTCTGCCAAAGTTGGCAGCAGATGAGAGCGTAGGTTGAAGTGTCCACAACGAAACTGCGATCCGTCTAAGTAGTGAAGTCCCTAGCGTGTAACATCTGCCTAGAAGAAGTCACGATCAAGCTCACTTGCTAAGAAATGAGACCACACATCGCGAGCATAAACGCAGTCCCGCATTACATGGATAGAGGTTTTCGGCCCTCCTCCGCATATGAGACACTTATCCGTTTGCGCCAAGTGACGACAAAGCCTTTCTGCGTTCGTCAGCAGCCAGTTATGGAGCACCAACCAGAACAAAGTTTTGGTGCGCCGTGGCCCTAGAATTTTCCAATGTAGCTTTCCAAACCGGGTTATACAGAGTCTGATTCTCATCCTCCCTAGTAAGTGGGAATGTCGGGGCCATCCTCAAAGGGTATCGGGTGCAGATGAAGGTGCGAGACCAGCGACTCTGGGAGGAAAGCTCTTATGAAATCCAAGTTACATTGGCCGTTCAAAACCATTTCAGCGGCTATCAAGTCTCTCGCCTCCGCCTGAAGGTTCTCTGCGAAGTCTGCAAGCGGCGGGCCATCCTGCAACCAACGATCCGACCAGAACCGGGTTTGCATGCCACTCCGTACATTCCATAGAGTCCCCTCCAACACGTAAAGGAGAACTCGCAATACCCTCCCACCCCCCCAAATGTTGGACCCCTTTCCATTGCCCCGATATACTTCCCTCTGATGTCTTTTGCCCACAAGCTCTCTGGTCCAGTGAACGGACGCCATGCTATTCTGATCATGAATGCATCATTCATTCTGGTCGCGTTACGAAATTCCAGGAAGGCCACCCTATGGAGCTTAAGTTGGGAGGTGAAAAAACTCGCCCCCGATACCGTGGCAGATCCACTCACGGTGGCTTCGTACTCTCAAGCATGATAGATCTGCAACGTCGAGCTAATGACGTTAAACTAGCGCTTGTTGGGAGGCAACCCAACGGCGATTTGTTTTCTTTTCCTTATTTTCTCGTTTTGTGTTTGTATGAAGAGTTCAAGTGTTAGAATGGGTAACACCATGCCGGGTCTGTGTGTTTGCATGTTGTGGGATGTGTTGTGATCGAATTAGGGACACAGTTGAGTAGATCGAGTCAATTTTTTTTTGGAAATGCTCTGTTTTCACTCAGTTCACAGTTTCTGCCTTCAATTCACGGTCTTAGCGACCGTGATAAAAGGTCGGAGATCGTGAACGAGGAAGGATCCAACAGTCTTTGAAACTCACTGTTCCACCCAAGTTCATGGTCGCTATGCCTCCATCCGTGAACT